TGGACCTTTTCCTATTTCAAATTATCAATTATTCATTTTAATCATTTTCATCCTTATTTACACTTTCAGTTTCTCACACTAGAGATACTATTTGGTATTTACACATGTGTCCTATTTATTTCACTTAAGAGTATGGCCTTAATACGCATCCATTTAGCCATAAATTACTCTAGTTTCTCATTCTTTATGGCTGAGTAGTACTCCATTTTATAAAAAAAACCCCACATCTTTCTTGTCATTCTTCATTTTGTCATCCTTGTTTCTAACAGACTTGTGTAAAGTTGCTCATTTGTATGACCACAGGAAGACAAAACAGCACCAGCAGTGACAGAGGCTGAAATACTGCCTAATCTTTCTTCACCTTGCATGATTTTTATTTGGGGCACGAATATGACAGAGTCCTAAGAAAGGAGGCACTAAATATTAACACATCTTTTCTATCACATAAAAAATTATATCCCTCTACTCTCCAAACTTCCAGCAAGAAGCCAACAAAAACTGTTTAAAGCGAGCAAAAAACTTTAGAAGTTGTAGGCTTCAAGTTGCTACCATTCTTTAATAAACAAGTAAAAGCACCACATGTTGTAAAAGATGTTTGAACAAAGACTCTGCTGCTAGACTAAATTCTCCTCTCTGCTCTCGAGCTTGCTATGGAATGTCACTATCAGGGGAAAAGAAAGAAAATTCTGCAAACAATTATATTCTACTTTTAAACTAAGCCACTGACTTCCAAAGTCTCAAACGCATTTGTGAAAACATTTTTTGTTTGAGATTTATTTGAATGAACTGCTATGATTGGAGACAGAATTTCAGATTAATGGTTTGCAGCCAAAAAAAAAACCCTCTGGAAAGCTGGCAAGTGTTCATAAGGCAGACCTAGAATTATGTAGGTTGAAGGCTCCCCAGTGGACAGACTGAACATATAAGAAGGAAACCAGAGATCTGGTGCTATTACATCCTAGAGTTTAAGAGAACGAATAAGCAAAGAATTCAAAGCATTCTTCAGCCTGAAATTTTAAAGTAAGTCTGAACAACTTATACATACTTGACTTGGAAAGTAGAATACACATTAAATGAAAAAATTTTTTGGATAAACTTTTCCTTCTTTCTGTGTTTTAAACTGTATTTTGCAAAACTCCTAAATTATTTAACTACTGTTTCTCTTACAGGGGTCCATTTAAGAGCTAGGCAAGCTGATTTATAACTGCTTTAAATTTCAATTACCAGTAAGTCTTTAGTGAGATTTACTTTTTATTCTTTCATGTAAATTTGTAAGGTCATACAAAAGAATAAATAAGCTTTAAAGAAAAATGATAATTTGGTTTTTATTAGGAGGTTCATTGGTGATCACATTTTAACTGACTATTGTATTTGTGTGTATTTTGAAACTAAGTCACCTTTCTCTTAGTGCGTTTATCTTTAGCTAATTTTCTTTTGTTTCAAAATAATGTTACTACCATGAAAATCAAACCAACTATACTTCCAAAACCTGAACACTGATTATAACATTTGAGAAAAATGACTAGTTCTGTTAAACTCTACTTAAAGCAAAGGAAAAATGGTAAGACTATACAATGATTAATCATTGATGTTCAATTCTTATTTCACTGAGCAGTCAAAACATTTCTGCTTGACCCTCAAACAGGTTTTGCTGTTTTTTCTTTTTCCTTAATTAAACTGAAAACAGATTTTTTTTTACTAAATAGACTAAACTTAAATATTTTTAGTTAAAACTAATATCTCTATTAAAAACTGAGGGCCTTTTAGAAACAGGCGACATGCCATAATTTCTTAACTATATTGTGAAAACAATGAAAAGCAGAGCTGAAGAGATTATTTTTAAGTAGCAAAAACCGATCATGGTCCCCCATTCCAATATTTTCCTTTGCATATTCTTTCAGTCATTTGTACACTTACTTGCTTTTTACTAGCTTATATTACTTGTATTTTCCATAGTTGTGATGATTTGTGTATAATTAGTTACTTTGAACGAATTATATTTGCATGAAATACCAGACTGCAGTCAGAGTGATTTCTAGAAAGTATACAGATTGAGATATATAATCAAGTGTTTTAAAATATTAACTTTTGAGTTTCTTCTTGTTTCATTTATTTATTTTCCTGACTAATCTTCTGAAATCTTACTTTTCTTTAAACCATTCAAAAACATGATAGAAAGGACAAAAGTTACTTTGTTCAGAATTTTCATTCCCTGAAAGCTGAACTATCTTACTTCTGCCACTATTAAGAATGTTGTTTTTCTTTCTCAAGAGGTAAAATCCAATCTTACTCCATAGTCATAGTCCTATCTCATACTGTGCTCTATAATCATTTTTTTTTTACTTTTGACAAGCTTAAAATGCTAATGATTCAATTACACCCCAAGGTTTGTTTGTCTTCTAAGTGTCCCATTTTCTCCCCCACAGAAGGTGTACAAATCAGGAATTGTTGAAATTTCATTATGAAGGTCAACTTCACTTTTGCCACCATCATCCAAAACATTACCAGCAGTCTGCACTTCAGACTTGTGAATATATCTACCAGAGAGTCCACCTTTAACTGCTCACAGAAACCATCAGATAAGCATTTAGATGTGATTCCTATTCTCTACTACACAATTTTTGTGATTGGATTTCTTGTTAATACCATTGTGGTTATGCTGTTTTGTTGCCAAAAGGGTCCTAAAAAGGTTTCCAGCATTTACATTTTCAACTTGGCTGTGGCTGACTTACTCCTTTTGGCTACGCTTCCTCTCTGGGCAACCTATTATTCTTACAGATATGACTGGCTCTTTGGACCTGTGATGTGCAAAGTTTTTGGTTCTTTTCTGACCCTGAATATGTTTGCAAGCATTTTTTTTATTACCTGCATGAGTGTTGATAGGTACCAATCTGTCATCTACCCTTTTCTGTCTCAACGAAGAAACCCATGGCAAGCATCTTACATAGTTCCCCTTGTTTGGTGTATGGCCTGCCTGTCTTCATTGCCAACGTTTTATTTCCGAGATATCAGAACGATTGAATTCTTAGGAGTGAATGCTTGTATTATGGCTTTCCCACCTGAAAAATATGCTCAATGGTCGGCTGGTATTGCTTTAATGAAAAATATCCTTGGTTTTATTATTCCTTTAATATTCATAGCAACATGCTACTTTGGAATCAGAAAACACTTACTAAAGACCAATAGCTATGGGAAGAACAGAATAACCCGTGACCAAGTCCTGAAGATGGCAGCTGCTGTTGTACTGGCATTCATCATTTGCTGGCTTCCCTTCCATGTTCTGACTTTCCTGGATGCTCTGGCCTGGATGGGTGTCATTAATAGTTGTGAAGTGATAGCAGTCATTGACTTGGCACTTCCTTTTGCCATCCTTCTGGGATTCACAAACAGCTGCATTAATCCTTTTCTGTATTGTTTTGTTGGAAACCGCTTCCAACAGAAGCTCCGGAGTATGGTTAGGGTTCCAATTACTTGGCTCCAAGGCACAAGAGAGACTATGTCTTGCAGAAAAAGCAGTTCTCTTAGAGAAATGGACACTTTTGTGTCTTAAACACAAGAATGCAATGCATATTATCAAGGTGGCAACTTGTTCTGAGACCCACCTGGATATCTTTAAGCAGCTTTTGTAAAATAAGATTTTCCCTTTATTTAATCTTTATTCTTCTCAAACAGAAAACCAAGTATAACTGTACATTTTGTTCTCCAGTGACTTTCAGAAGTTGTCCACTGTTTTTCTGTTATATCAATGCAAGATTGTCGTTTTGAGACATACCCATAACCTAGAAGTAATTGAGGATTTATGTTAAATTATAATTAATACTAACTTGTGAATAATGATTTGGGATTTCAGATTTCTCCTTGAAAAATACTGGCATTTCTTAGGGGGGTTTTATATCAATTTTCATCATGTTTTCTTTTCTCTTGAACAAAGGCCAGCTTTAATTTGCTGCATTATTTATGAGGCAACACGGTAAGATAAATGAGCACTGTAATATACTATTCTAAGTTGACTATATTATAATACATTGTTACTGGATTATTCAGGCTCTAAGAATATACAGTACTTTCTACTTTTTAAGAAACTATAAGTTCTATTCCTTTTACATTTCAGTTGAGCATAGCTTTATACTTAAGACCTAGTTATATATTCAGTAGGGCTAGGAATAAAGATTAAATAACTCCAATATTTTAGCTTATTTTTTACAGTTATACAAAGTAAAATGTATACTAAAGCAAAGTTGCTATTAACACATGAGTCCTCACTGAACTCTGAATAAGTACTTTAAAAATTTTCTATCCATATTAACTTTTATTTAAAGGTTTCTATATTTTTTGATAATTATTGAAAATAATATGCCTCAAACTGTGTATTTATAAAATGCAAAGGTCACTTTTTACATCTTTGACCTTTTGAATGTGGTGCTTGATATCTAGGACATTGACTTGATTTTAATTATTGAATTTTGGGTTGCTTCCCTAAATATCTGGGTGGATTCTTTACCTTGTAATAAATTCTAAATTGGAACAGGAAAAGGTTAGGTCAGAATGAAATTGTGATTACCCTTTGAGTGACAAAGAAACTCAGAAATGACAAGCTTGGTATGAAGCTGGGGACCTGTCAGGTAAGACAGTTCAATGTGGCTTTTAGAATGTAGACACTGAGGGGTAATTTTAACCTATATCTATGTTTACTATTTGTTCCTGAATCTGTAGGATTCTGTGGAGGAATTTGAAACCAATTGCTGGTCCATAGATATTTTTCTTAACACTATTATAATTCCTAAGTTAGAGGAATACCTGAAACTGACTGAGTTACCTGAACTTGACTCAGATTAGAGTATGAATCTTAATTTTAGAAGTTCACCTTTTTATTCTGTACCAGCCCCTTATTAGGCCAAGTTAAGTAGGACTTTCTAGATTAGTGGTAACTGTGAGGTAGAATTAAAGTTTTGGGGCCTTAACAACTTTGCCATGTTCTGGAGCTATAAATTGAAGAGTTCTCTCATATCTCTTTCTTTCTTTTTTCTTTCTTTTTATTTTTTATTTTTGGTATCAGGGATCAAACTCGGGACCTTGTGCTTGTGAGGCAGGCGGCAGAACCACTGAGCTAAATCCCCGGCCTCTCTCACATCACTTTCTAGGAAGGTCCTACTTTCATGTAATCATATTATTTTCAATAAAAATATACAGATAAATGTATAATCAACTATGACATTTTTACACAGTTTTGTAAAACATCTCATATAAATAAAATCTTTAATTGGAAGATCATGTGTGCTTATTATCATTTTAATTTTAACTCTTTCCAAATATAGATTTCTGCCTTCTCTTGTATTAGCATCCTGAATTCAATTTCCACCAATACTTCTTACTTTCAGCCTCCATCGTTACTCACCTGGCCCCATGCCACATGCAGCTAGCCTCCTTCTAAGTATTCAGCCATAATTCCCTACTAACTGTTAAAACAAAGTCCACGTTTCTTATCAGAGTCAGCATGACCTTAGAAGATCTGACACTTTCCAGCCTCTCGGGCATGTTTTTCTCTGTTACCCTTTCTTTGCATTCTATATTCACATGCCACCAAATGATTTTTTTTTTTTTTTGCTGTTTTTGAGGTCTAATGCTTTTTCATGCCTTTCTGCTTTTATTCACACAACTCTGTCTTCCTGAACACCCTTCCAGTCATTTTCCATGCCCAGGGCCACTCATATAATTGATGAACACCTACTCAGCTTTCAACATTCAGCTATGCGGTTTCTTCTATCATAGTCATTACTATTATGCTAATTATATGACCCCCTCCCCCACCCTGGGAGTTCCCTTAGTGAGCATAATTTCTTCTGTAGTTCTTGGGATTTTAAACTTGCCTGCTGCTTTCATAGGAGCCCAGTTTTGAGCCCTGAGTAGTAGTTTTCCCAGTGTTTTTTCTAGTGCAATGCCCAGGAACCATATAACAACAACAACAGTGATAACAATACCACCAATAGTTATAATGAGGTGAGCATTATGTGCTAGGTACTAAACACTTTATATAAATTATATCATTTTTCCCTCACAGTGAAATATTCTCATTTTACAAATAGAGAAACCATGCCACGGGTGTGTCCTGATAAATCTTCACATTTGACAGATGACAGATGAACTTGTCAATCCCAGTAGCACTATTTAGTAACTTAAATATGAATCCTAGGCTACAAAGCAGGTATTTCAGAAACACTCATACAGTCTGTCAAAGTGCATCCCTAACCCTAGCAATATAAGGGCTCCTAGGCAGGTGGTATATTTGCACCCATGAAGAAAAAGAAAGGAGGTAGACAGGTGAGACTTTTAAAATCAGATCTATTCTGCACAATTCTTGTTTTTCCTTGATATTTTTGAGGCCTGGTATCAAAATGAGAAGACAATCTGAAGGTAAGCACGTTCTATTTTTATTTTATTTTCTCCCACACAGGAATCAGAGGGTGGGAAACTGTCTGGTAACTTCATATATCAAGAAAAGAAAACTCTAAACTTGACAAGGTGAATAACACATGAGGTACTTAGAGCAAAATAAAGGTTGAGGAAATAAGAAAGCCTGAACTATATCAGCAATGATTAGTCACATAAAATAACAAATTAATAAGCTGTTGCTAAAAGTCATCACTTCACCTTTAAACGACCAGCAGCCCTGAGCTGAGTTGAGTAACTTACTTGCATACACATACTTACTAAGAATTAGCATCCTGGGAAAGAAAATTTGTTCTTTTTGAAATTCTTTTTTTTTCCAGGATAAGAGAATTCTCTTAAAAATTAGAAATAATTGCCATGTATTTCTTATTATAGAGTTAATATTTAATGTTGGAAAATTTAAATATAGGTAAAAATTAGCCACAGTGATAATGTTAGCAGCATGGGATGAGATTATTATAGATGTAAATATAGATACAGATACATGTATACAGAGTAGGCAAAAAAATGTATACACACTTCAGGAGAAGAAAAACTTGTATAAATATTTTAATACTAAATTTATTGACACATCGTGAGATTAATACAAGTTACCTTTGGCCTCTACAAGAGGTGTTCAAATTGGCTGCCATTAGCTTCCAGACATTTATTAGTATGGCAAACTGCTGCCTGGGTAACCTTGGTCTTTCAGATTGCTACACATGCTTTTCAATTTCTTCTTCAAGGGCCAGCAGCATAGTTGGTTTTCTGTGATATATGACATCCTCTAGGTTCCCACATATGAGCGTAACACCATCTGTTGAAAAAACATCATACTATTTTTCTTTTCCTGAAGTGCATATACATTTTTTTCTGGACTCTATATACACATACATATAATTTATTATTTACAGTGGACCCTTGACTTATGAACTTGACCAGTTGCCAAGGGCTGGTTGTAACTCAAGTTGGTTGTAAGTCAATACAGCTGAGATCTGGATGTTTACCTGGGTATACACTCTAGATAACAAGAGGCAAATGAATCTTCCATTAACCTAATTAACCCAAGTTGTTTATATGTCAGGTTGGTCGTAACTTGAGGGTCCACTGAATATATTTTTTGTTTTGTTTTTCTCTTCATCCACATCCATTTTTCTTTTTTCATTTCTTTATTTTCTATTAGCTATGTATGTCCTTCATCAACCTGTGGTACAATTCTTTTAATATTTAAAATACTTTGACCCTATGCTCCCACTTGGTTTACTAGAAAATTTTGTTCTCTTATTGAGTTCTCTTCTAGTATGGTAAGTCCAAAATCCTCAGGGTTTAAGCAATCCAAGAGATCACATCTAGTTGTGATTGTCCAATGGGAGAAAAGACTGGAAAATCTGATAAGTCCACTGGCTCATTCTGTGCACTATTGTTACATTGTTTAGCAGTTAGTCTATAAGAGAATACATGGCTCAGTAGTTTGGGGTAGACTCCTCTCCACTTAAGTAGTTTTGAAATATTGTATGCACAAGCCTCCTGATAAAGGTGTAAGAGAAAGGAAAGGGAAGACTCTTCCTTCCTCCAGGGTTACACTCATTCACTTTTAACTGATGCATGCTAGAGTGGACCTGGGCTCAAATACATATTTTTTGTGCACAATTATGGAGCCAGGAGCAATCAGCAGACATGCAGCAAGAGTAACATACCATGCCAGGAATCAACCTTCTCCTTTCTTAAATGAACTTTTCTGTGCATTTGAAGTCACATTTAAAACTCAACAAAAATGCATGTCCCTATTTGAAGGAGTGGGAGGGTAGGTGGTGCTGATGTTGCTTCTTGATGACACTTGGAGGGACTATCTCTGTATATAAGCTACGCAGTAAGAACTTTGAACTTCTTGCTCTTCATTCCCTACCTTTCAGAAACTCTCTCCCTTTTTCCCCCTCCAAATCCAAACATATTTCAGTGTGTACAAGAAAGAGATGGCACAGATCCATTTGGCTGGAAAATTAGAATCATCAGACCATGCCAAGCCTCTAATTTTCCAGTTAGTTTTGTCATAAAACAGTGGAACCCTAGGCACTCTACATTCATATATCAAAAAAGGTCACTGGAAAGATAAATCGCTTAAAAATCCTTTACCCTGATATTTCTTGATGTTGTAACAGCTTAAAATATTTGTAAATAACACATTTGAGATAGGCATTTTTACTATCTTCTAGGAAAAAGTAAAAATTTGTCTCCCTGAGTGTGCTGTTCATCTGTTACCCCACCCAAATTCATGTGTTGAATCTCTAACCCTCAATGTAACTGCATTTGTAAGTAAATAGAAAGATACCATACATCTAGTCTGCAATCCAGGAAGAGAACTCTCACCAGAACATGGCCATGCTGGCATTCTAGTAATGGACTTCCAGCCTCCAGAAAACAAATTTCTGTTGTTTAAGCTACCCAGGTTATGGTACTTTGTAATGGTAGCTCAAGCAGACTAATATATATTTTGACACTGAGAATGGTACTAGGAGAAGATAATTTTAAGGATGAGTTTTCCAATTGGTTCTGAGGTTTCTGGAATTGGCTTTCTAGTCTGAGTATATTTAAACATGCTATTACTGACTATTTCTAGTAGTAAAGTGAGGTCTGATAGTCCATGAGATGATCTAGCAATGGAGATACACAGAACAACACCACTGGATAATTCTAGTCAACCAATCACAAGAAACAAGGCACACAGTGACTATGTATATGATTCTTGTGAACATTTTTAGTGAGCTAATAAATATAGTGAGATTGACTGTAATGTCTCTGGAGAAAGTGGAGAAAGAAAAGGATGAACTCAGGGTTTGAATTGCCAGGTCAAGTGCCCCATAAATGACCTGAAAGCTTCTAGGAGTGTCCTGAAGGAGAACTTTATGCTATAGCTGCAGAGCTGATTCCTAAAAATGAAACCCAGAATCTCATCTTGAGGCTGGCTGAATTACAATGCAAGTTGAACTTCCAGTATCATAGAGTATCTACTACTAAAAGAGTATTGAACTGGGAATGTAGCACAATAGCAGAACGCTTGATGCATTGGGTTTAGTCCTGATATGGGGGGAATAGATATAACTCCCAAACTTGCTAGATGTCTGAAATGCGAGTCTGTGTTCTTGGAAATCATAGAATGAATTCTAGGAACAACAGAGGTTAAGAGTAGAAAAAATTTATTGAGAGAAAGATAGCTTCAGTCTAAGAGAGACAGAAGTGGGGCTGGGGGACTGGAAAGTGAGTTGCCTGCCCACCCCACTTTTCAAAAGTTTTATTGAGCAAAGCCATGAAGTGAGGTGGGTACAAGGTGAGATAAAACTATAAAACCCAATGAAAATTACAAGGTGGGCAAAAGGTGGGCCAAAACCATGATCAACCAATAAGATTACAAGTACAGTCACCCAGGAAATATTGATTAAATGGGGATCAAATGGGAAAACAAGTCACATAGAAGGAATTTCCAGAAAGGAAATAGGATAGTGTTGTCTATTTAGAATATCAATCACTTCTACCCATCTCCAAGGGAAGTAGTACCTCTTTTCTTTTTATAAGGCTAACCAGTGATTGTGCTTCAATTATTTTTCTATACTGAGGGCCCAGCTTTGTCAAACTGCCTTATAATAATTTCTAACTAACTTAACTATCTACTATAGTCCCAGCACTAAGGTAGGGAGTTGGATGGCGGGGGGGAGAGAAAGAACACTGAGAACAATGATTATGAAATAATTGGATCTTATGGGTTGGAATGAAGATGTGTGGGAAG